ACACCAGCCTGAAGATGACGAATGAGACGTTGTCGAAATGTCGCCAAGACACTTCCAATTTTACGCGGGAGAAAACCCGAATAACCAAAGACCTACATACAAACACCCGTGAAAATCTCAGAAAACACACACACACACACACACACATATATATGTGTGTGTGTGTGTGTGTGTGTGTGTGTGTACAGTTAATATTTCGGGTTTCTTCCCGTGTAATTGTAAACATATCCTTAAAAGGGTAGTAGCGACGTTTCGATGAAATCGCATTCGTCATCTTCTGGCTGAAGTTCTCGGTTTGGTGCTTATGGGCAATTACACTATACTAATACTATACTACACTAGTACTATACTATATTAACACTATACTATACTAACACTAATACTATACTAGTACTAGACTAATACTAGTATACTTTACTAGCACTAGACTAGTACTAGACTAATACTATACTATACTATACTAGTACCATACTAATTCTAGTACTAGACTAATACTATACTATACGACACGATACTAATACTAGTACTAGACTAATACTTAACTGTACTATAACATTATATTATTTTATATTATCACATCATATTATTATTATATTATATTATTAGACAAGATTAATTTTTTATTCATCACTTCTTGTTCCGGCCTGGTTTTCCACCACCCAGAGTCTCAGAACGGGGCCGTTATGCAAAGATGGTGTAAAGAAATAAAAATATCCTGAGAAAACCTACTCATCGTCTTCCCAACCTTTTAAGGTGTCAACGCAGAGAAAGGCTTAATCCAATAACCAGGTCAAGCATATTGCGAAAGCAGGCTGTTGTTCTGTTGGCTGGGTAGATTGTATGGTTTTATTTCATTGAAACATTTATACTGCTGCCCGTTTTATGACCAACTCTGGGCGGTTCCCATTCGGAAAGTTAAAACATACAAAACTATATTAAAACTATAAAATGAAAGTCCTTAAAAGGTTCAAATTACAGGCTTCATTGGGATGCTGGGAAAACTCATTTTCTGCACAGGCAATTTGTTTTATTTTTATGTATTTATTTTTATCCCAGTGTCTATACAAATATTTTTCAACCTTGGGCCCTTTAAGATGGGTGGACTTCAACTCCCAGAATGCCCCAGTCAGCCATGCTGCCTAGGGAATTCTGGGAGTTGAAGTCCGCTCACCTTAAAAGTGTCCAAGATTGAGAAAAACGGGATTAGAGAATTAGAAAATGGTATTAGAAGGAAACTGCGATTCAATGATCATTGTTGCGCATTGATTTTCTATAACACCGGCTTGTATATTTAGATTTCTTTTATCGTATCTAAAATCTATCCTTTTACGGCATCTTTCGTTCCAAGGTTGCTTCTCTTAGAAATCCAAGGAAATCTGATTTGCCAATCCAGAGTGACAGACAAAAAGCACTCCTAGCCATAGAAAGGAAACAATAGCCTTAGAAACAACAATGCAAGATTAGACTATATTTAAATCCTGATCAACCCTGGAAACATTTCAAAAGCAGATTCACAACAGTTGTGATATAATACTGTTATTGCACAACCTGCTAAGTCTGTTTGTCATTTTGTATGTGTGGCTGAGCCTGCAGTGCTCGTTTAAGGCACAATAAATTATGGAAATGCAGAAATGGGATTAATTCAGGAAACAGGTAAATTGGCTGAAAGACCCGAGGGAAGGATTCCCATCCAGTCCTTTGGAGGAGAAAGCCACATGGAATATACGTGAATTTGAAAATTATTTCAAGACTTTAAAATATAGGTAGAGAGAGAGAGATAGGTAGGTAGGTAGGTAAATAAGTAGGTAGGTAGAATGTATACAGATGAAAGATAGATAGATAGATAGATAGATAGATAGATAGATAGATAGATAGATAGATAGATAGATAGATAGAGGTAGGTAGGTAGGTAGGTAGGTAGGTAGGTAGGTAGGTAGGTAGGTATACGGATGATAGATATAGATATACCAGTGGATGGATGGGAGGGTGGGTGGATGGATGGATGGATAGATGATAGATGATAGATGGAGAGAGAGAGAGAGAGAGAAAGAGAGAGATCAATAGATAGATAGATAGATAGATAGATAGATAGATAGATGATAGATAGATGATAGATAGATAGATAGATAGATAGATAGATAGATAGATAGATAGATAGATAGATAGGATAGATAGATAGATAGATAGATAGATAGATAGATAGATAGATAGATAGATAGATAGATAGATAAATAGATAGGATAGATAGATAGATAGATAGATAGATAGATAGATAGACAGAAGATAGATAGATAGATAGATAGATAGATAGATAGATAGATAGATAGATAGATAGATAGAAGGACAGAAGATAGATAGATAGATAGATAGATAGATAGATATAGGTAGGTAGGTAGGTAGATAAATAGGTAGATAGGTATACGGATCATAGATATAGATATACCAGTGGATGGATGGATGGATGGATGGATGGATAGGTGGGTGGGTGGGTGGGTGGATGGATGGATAGATGGACAGATGATAGATGGAGAGAGAGAGAGAAAGAAAGATCAACAGATAGATAGATAGATGATAGATAGTTAGGTGATAGATAAATAGATAGATAGGGTAGATAGATAGATAGATAGATAGAGACAAACAGGCAGACAGACAGACAGACGGACATGATAGAGAGAAAGATTGAGAGGGGGTGAGGGAGGAAGGGAGAGAGGGAGAGGGAAAGAGAGGGGGGAAGAGAGGGAGAGAGAGAGCAAGGGAATGAATGAGAATAAGAATTCTGCTCCCCCCTTAGGCACAAAAGTCTGCCTAGTGACATTGAACCAATCACCAGGAGACAGTGAGTTCTAGTTGTGCCATAGGCACAGAAACTGGCCGGGTGACTTTTGGCCCAGTCACCAGGAGACGGCGAGTTCTAATCCTGCCTTAGACATGAAATCCAGCTAGGTGCTCTGGGACCACCAGACCCTCTCTCTCAGCCCAGCCCACCCTACAGGGTTGCTGTTGTTGTGGGGATAAAGTAGTTGTTAGGAGGAGGAGGAAAAAGTGCTAGTTTGTTCGCCTCCTTGAGTTATTTATTAAATAATAGCTTTTAAAAATGGCAGGATATCACGAAATAAAAAAACCCAGACCAGCTTTTGCCTAATGAAGGGGACTGAACCCCAGCAAAGCCTCAACTCAAAAAAAAGAGCCTTGGTGGTGCAGTGGACTAAACTGCTGCTGTTAAGGTAGTACTTAGCTGCCTGCAATTACTGTGAGTTCGAATCTCACCAGGCTCAAGGTTGACTCAGCCTTCCATCCTTTTCGAGGTAGGTAAAATGAGGACCTGGATTGTGGGGGCAATAAGCTGACTTTGTATAAAAAAGAACACCACTTTGGGGGGGGGCGAAAGCCCTACTAAGCAGGTATATACAAAAGTATGAAGGCTATTGCTTAAAAGCATTGTAAGCCGCCCTGAGTCTCCGGAGAAAGGGCGGCATATATAAATCGAACAAACAAATAAACAAATAAATAAATAAATAAATAAATAAATAAATAAATAAATAAATAAATAAATAAATAAATAAACTAATTAACTAACTAACTAACTCCAGAGTCGTTCCAACGAGACATGGGAACATCCATTCTTAAGAGAGGCTCCCATCCCCCAAAGGTTTTTCGTGCCCCCTTCCCCTCCCCCACTCCCCCGGTCGTGAGAATGAGCTCCAACTCCCAATCCAAAATCTGGAAGGGGTGTGTGGAAATCCCTCCCCCCACCTCTCCGCCGGGCGACGAAGAAGCGAGTGGCCTTTCCAGAAATGTTGTAGTAAGGTCTCCTGCTTGGAGGGGGTAGATAGGTGGGGTTGGACTAGATGCCCTCCAAGATCCCTTCCAACTCTGTTAATCTGTTAAGCTTTCAAGAAGAGGCTGGACTGACATCTGTCAGAAATGGCGTGGTAGTGTCTCCTTCTTGGGCGGGGCCCGGGTTGGACTAGATGACCTCCAAAGTCCCTTCCATCTCTTTGTTATTAATCTGGTCTCTTCCTCCCAGCCTCCTGCCTTTGGGGAGGGGTGTGTGTGGAAACCAGACCCCGGACGAGGAAGGGGAGGGAGGCGGATTCCCATCCGAACCCTCGCTCCTTTCCCTATGGAGCGGGAGGAAGGGGCCGTTCACACGACACGCGTGACTCAGGTTCGCCGTCGATAAACCGGGATGATGAGCGGGGTGGGGGGGGGAGCATGCCTTAAGCAGGGATCATGGGAATCCCTTTGATTCCTTTTTTTTAATGATTTGGGAGGGGGAGAGAGAGAGAGAGACCCCTGATGACCCACACACACACACACCGGGAAGCGGGTTTGGGGTTTCGTGTGAACGCAATCCAGGTGAGTAACATTGTGGGAAGAGCGCAGGTGATGTCAGGGCTTGGAGAGAAGGAGGAGGAGGAGGAGGAGGACCAGAAGGAGGACAAGAGCAAGGGGAGGGGGAGATCCCCCCTCCACCCTCCTCTTCTTCCTCCCCCGGCGGGCGGACCAGACGGAGAACCTCGCTCCCTTTTTCTCCGCTCTTGCTCCCGCGGGGGGGCTCTTTTTCATTCACTGAATCTATTCTCCCCCGCCCCCGCGGGAGCTTCCTCCGCCTCCTCGTGATAGGTCGGAGCTGGCATTCGAAGTGTCCCCGCCGCTGCTGATTGGCTGGCCGGGCGGACCCCCGCGGAGAGGGGTGGGCGGGGTCTTCCCCTTGAAATAGGCAACCCGCCGCTCAGCTGCTGTTGCTGCCTTTGTCTTGCGGACGCTGCCCGGGCGAGGCGAGGGAGAGAGAGAGCTCGGATCTCGGTGCCTTCTCTCCTTTGCAGGCTGCCGTCCGTCTGGGAAAGCTGCCCTGCTTGCTAGCAGAGACTGGGAGCTGCCCATCTCTCTGCTTTCTCTCCTTTGCAGGCTGCCGTCCGTCTGGAAAGCTGCAAGCAGAGCTGAGGCTGTGCTAGGAGAGAGAGAGCCCTGATCTCTTTGCTTTCTCCTCTCCGCAGGCTGCCCGTCCGTCTGGGAAAGCTGCCCTGCCCGCCAACAGAGACTGGGAGCTGCCGATCTCTCTGCCTTCTCTTCTCCGCAGGCTGTCGTCCGTCTGGGAAAGCTGCCCTGCCCGCCAGCAGTGACTGGGAGCTGCCGATCTCTCTGCCTTCTCTTCTCCGCAGGCTGCCGTCTGTCTGGGAAAGCTGCCCTGCCCGCCAGCAGAGACTGGGAGCTGCCGATCTCTCTGCCTTCTCTTCTCCGCAGGCTGCCGTCTGTCTGGGAAAGCTGCCCTGCCCGCCAGCAGAGACTGGGAGCTGCCGATCTCTCTGCCTTCTCTACTCCGCAGGCCGCCCATCCGTCTGGGAAGGCTGCCTTGCCCGCCAGCAGTGACTGGGAGCTGCCGATCTCTCTGCCTTCTCTTCTCCGCAGGCTGTCATCCGTCTGGGAAAGCTGCCCTGCCTGCCCGCCTGCCAATAAGAGACCACTCCAGTGTTTGACAACAGCCAGCCCAGGGCATGTGAATCCTTTCCCTTGAGGATTGTCGCACAAGAAGTCTCGCGGGGGAGATCAGACGGCGCCAACTCGCCATGCCGGTGGAGACCCTCCAAGCCAGCCGTGCCATGAGCACCATGACGGCCACAGCCCCTTTCACCTCCGCCATGCCCTTCCGTATCCTCAACAAGGGGCCCGAATACTTTCGCCGGCCTCCGGTCAGCACCTCCCGGAAGCTCAGCGCCGTGGAACGTCTGGAGGCGGACAAAGCCAAGTACGTCAAGAGTCAACAAGTGGCCACCACCAAACAAGACCCCGTCCGGCCATTGCTGCTCAAACAGCCGCTCTTCACCCCCGGCGTCAGGCGGGCAATATTCACCCCCAACCGCAAGGTCCCTCAAGTGGGGCGGCGGGGAGAAGGCGGCGGGGCCAAATCGTCCCTCAACTTGGAAATACTCAATAACTTGATCAATTTTTGCGACAGTCCCCTTGCCTTCCCCAAACCGGAGCTGAGCCCTTCGGACAGCCCGTGGATATCCAAGGTCCATAGCCGGAATCTGGACAACCTCCCTTCCACCCCTAAGAAGAAGCCCATGACCGACATGAGCAAACTCTCGCAAAGTTCAGCGTCTTCCAAGCCATCCAGCACCGTAGCCGTCCGCCGAGTGGATGTCCGGCCCTGCGGTGTGTCGCCGGCCAGAGGTACCCCCGCTATCCAACTGTCTCCGCTCCCTGCTCCCCCAGCGCCCCCCAAAAACCTGCCTGCCACCCCTCTCAGCTGCCCAAGCCCGAGGGGAGAGCCGCGGACCGATAGCGCCAAACGCCAGACCTTGTTACACCGGTCCAAATCGGACTTGAGCGACCGATATTCGCGGGCGACGGCCGACTTGGAACGCTTCTTCAACTATTGCGGTTTGGATCCCGAGGACGTCGGAGACATGGAGATGGAGAGGTTCACTCGAGCCAGCTCGGATATTGTGTCCGTCAAGTTCCACAGCGTCAGCACCAGCAGTTCGGTGGGGACCCACTCCCGACGCAGCACCGTCACCGTAGAGGACAGGCAAGCCGAACGCATGCCGTACGGGATCTCCATCATCGAACGCAATGCTCGGGTCATTAAGTGGCTTTATGGACTCCGACAGGCCAAAGAGGCGCAGAAGGTATCCAACGTATAGCAGCCGTCGGTGAGGGGGGCGGGTGGGAACTCCAACGACGAGGTTCGAGCCCCTCAACATTGCCCGAGGCTCTTTATTTCTGTTTGCAACTCATCGTCTCCAGGACTCGTCACATTAACCTTCAAATCTTTTCCACCACGAGCGTTTTGGAATCGTGCACGGATTGCTTGCACTCTGTTCCCCATCCAAGCTTGAGGAGAAAACTGTAGGGCCCTTGGTGCTGTCCGAGCTTGGCTGTTTTGCTTGCAGACATTTCGTGACCCAACTTGGTAACGTCATCCTTGCTAGATGGGAGGGGGGGTTTTTTTGCTCTCTGTTTATAAACAAGTGACTTGTCCTGTTTGTATCGGTGGGGAAGTGTTCTTCGTGGTTCCTTTGATAAGGCTGTTGTTTACTGTCGGGTCCTTGGTGGTCTCTGAGCTTGGTGGTTTTCTTGCAGACGTTTCGTGACCCAACTAGGGAACATCATCAGTGCTAGAAGGGAGTGGGGATTGCGGAGAGGAGGAGGGGGACAATGGCCATTTTGGGGTCCTTGGGGGCTCTCTGAGGTTGATGGTTTTCTTGCAACCATCTCATCACCCAACTAGGCGACATCATCAATGTTAGAAGGGAGTGGGTTTTGTGCGCGGCCTAAGGCAGGACTAGAACTCACAACCTTAGAGAGCACCAAGGACTCCACCGTTCATCCCTGAGGTACAAATCCGCTCTTCTATTGTTTATTATTTACTGAAATAAATATAACTCAGACGTCCTTCACCCATTCGAAATTTTCCAAGAGGGGAATCCGCCTCGTTCTCCGGTGGCTGTGGATGATGGGAGTCAGGGATTATATTACTTTTGAAGGGCATCTCTTCGAGGACCCTCATTTCGAGACTCAGCGGGTGTCCTTAAAAACGGCACCCACCCACCCCCGTCCTCCCTTCTTTTCTCTCAGGGAAAGCCCCCCCCCCAAATTGAAGTCGCCTCACGGAAGGAGGTTGCCATGTCCTCCCCACTCTGATTGTGCCATAGCAGTGCCAGCTATACGTCCCGTGCCACGTGATCGTGTTTTGGAAGTGACATCACGGGATGCCCTTTGAGCTTGCCCACGATGCCCAGGGCATCGTCCTGCCGTCGGCATCGCCCGGTTAACCCTCGCTTCCTCTCCTTTACACCTATTGCTCAGGAGTGGGGGGAAAACTCCCCACCAAGACTATGATATCAGAAGCCGAGATGGTTTCTCTCCAAGGGTGGCATGACACCCTCGCCTCTGGGAGCCGAGTTCGAGTCTTAAGGGGGGATTTTTTTAGCCAAAGCAACAACAGCACCAGGGAACAATAGAAGGCGGAGAGAGCTGGAAAATCCCCACGTTTTATTGTTAAGCAGGTGCAAGAATGCAAAAAAAAAAACGTCTTGGCTTACGACCAAGAAAAGCTTCCGGGCAGAGCACGGGGCAAAATCCATGCCACCTCCTTGTATGCAAATGAGAGGTTTTTGGTGGGCCACTCCCACAAGAGGAGGCTTGTGGGCGTGGCTTAGGCCAGGTGAGGGACAGGTACCCATCTGCAGGTCGGTGTTCGAGAGAGAGTCTAAAATTCCCACTTAGGGTTACAGGCAAGTCCTCGACTTACGGCGCTTCGTTTAGTGACCAAAGTTACAACGTCACTGAAAAACGGAAGGTTTTTTTTTATACGGCTTTGGACCGTTTTAAGCATCCCTGGCGGTCACGCGATCAAAAATTTGGGCCTGTATTGATGACGGGTGCAGCATCCTGGGCTCATCCGATTGGCGTTGGCGAACGCTTCCCAGCCAATGGAGGAAGCCGGTTTGGCTTAACGACTGCGCGATTCGCTTAAGAACCTGCGGTGATTATGCCGAGAAGGTTGTAAAATGGGGCGAAACTCACTGAACCGTGAAATTTTGGGCTCCATCCATTGTTGGCCGTAAGTCGAGGATTAACCTGTAACTGGGCTTGGGGATGATGGGAGTTGTAGTCCCCCCAAGCTTGGAAAGTGCCAGATTTGGTCAAAATGCTTTTGTGATTTTTTATTTTATTTATTTTGTTTATTGGGGTGAGTTTGGTTTTTTTTTTTTTGGCTTCCAATTATCTATTGTCTTTTTTTCTCCCTTCTGGAGAAAAAAAACCCTGCTCCATAAAATCAGCCTGATATATTTTAGCCAAACCTGGCCAATTGTATGCGAACGCATCCTTTGTGTCTGGGTATCTTCTAGTCCAGCCTCTCGCTACCCATCCTTGTTGAGCGAAACGGAGTCAGACATTATTCCGGAAAAAAAAAAAACCCTGCCTCTTTTGACATCATAAGCCTCGTGCAGATAGAAATTGGGGCAAAATGGGTTCTTATTTTGCAAGAATGGGGACGGCAGTTCAGAAGGTGGCAAAAGACAGGAAGAGATTCCTCTCTTGCTCGGGCAGCCTTGCCCTATGGTGTCAGCTGCCAGATGTCCTGCGGACGGACAATATTTTTCTCGGAGGAGCTGGCTGCCCATCCCATTAACAGGCAGCAAATCGAGGCAAATTGTTTTGGGAAATCCTAGAAAGTGGGTCGGGAGGAGACCTCAAGAGGTCATCTAGTCCAACCCCCTGCCCGATGCAGGAGCCCGGTTTGCTTTGGCCTGTGATTTTATATCCTGGAGCAGACAGAAGAAGCCAGACGTTTTGTGAGGAGATGCAATTTTACGTCTTCAGGCACAGGTAGTCCTCGACTTACAGCCCTTTTCATTTAGTGACCGTGTGGCGTTATAACGGCACTGGAAAAAAAGTGACTTACGACCGTTTTCATGCTTGCAACCATTGAAGCCTCCCCCGTCGCTTCACCTGGTCAAAATTCAGGCGCTTGGCAACTGACTCGTATTTATGACAGGTCGCAGTGTCCCGGGGGTGTCACCTGATCCCCTTTTGCGACCACACTTAACGACCATGTTATTAACAGCTGCGCCAATTCGCTTAACATCTGTGGCAAGAAAGGTCGTAAAAGGCCCCCCCCGGCGAAACTCACTTAACAACTGTCTCGTTTAGCGACAAAAATCCTAGGCTGGATTGTGGTCGTAAATCGAGGACTATACTTATGCTGAATTTTAATCCCCAGCACTCTGAAATATCTAGAATCGCTCTTTGCCACCTCCAAAATAATTTGGTTTATCGTTGCATTGCATAATCCTTTTGACGTGTGTTGGAAGCTTTCAAAGACCTCCCCCTCTGTTTTTAAATCTCATTTCCCAATAAAGATGGTTCCCCCCCCCCACTTATGGGGGACTACAGTTCCCATCATCCCTGGGGGACTACAGCTCCCATCATCCCTGACTGCATTTTAGGAACCTCGAGATCTGACGTCGATATCGTTTGCAGGACACGTAAGTTCAGAGCAGTGATTCTGTAGGGAAATATTTCTTCAAAAGAGAAGGGGAAAAAAATTGTTCTGAAAATGTCTGAATCCACCATTGAGAGGTATGAAGTGGCTGAGTTAGCACAATGACCAATCCTTCCGTTCAGACCAACAGAGTTTGAAGGGACCTTGGAGGTCTTCTAGTCCAACCTCTTGCTCAAATACCAGTTCAGACAAATGGTTGTCCAATCTCTTCTTAAAAACCTCCATTGATGGAGCACCTACAACTTCTGGTGGCAAGTAGTTCCACTGACTAATGGTTCTCACTGTCAGGAAATTTCTCCTTAGTTCCAGGTTGCTTCTCTCCTTGATTAGTTTCCATCCATTGCTTCTTGTCCTGCCTTCAGGTGCTTTGGAGAATAGCTTGACCCCCAAATTCTTCTTTGGGGCACCCCCTCAAATACTGGAAGACTGCTATCATGTCACCCCTAGTCCTTCTTTTCATCAAACGAGACCTACCCAATTCCTGCAACCGTTCTTCATATGTTTTAGCCTCCAGCCCCCTAATCTTCTTTGTTGCTCTTCTCTGCACTCTTTCCAGAGTCTCAACATCTTATTTTCGTGGCGACCAGAACTGGATGCAAATATTCCAAGTGTGGTCTTAAATAAGGCAGGATAAAGCGGTACTACTAACACTTTGCGTTCTCTTGAAATGATCCCTCTTGTAAATGCAGATTAGGATTGCATTGGCTTTTTTTGGTGGCTGCTTCACACTGGCTGGCTCCTTCCCATAATTTGCAATTGCCCCCAAACCCATCCTAATCCGATGTCCTTAATTCTCACTCCATGTTTACAATGGGTGGTTAATTTCTCACAACCTCAACTTAGCATGAGGGGCAAATCCACCCGGAGTCTCGCCATCTCATTTGATCAATGACATCACCAGTTTGACTTCACGGGACAATTAAACAATTGTTTAATCGATGTTTCTCATTTAAAAAAAACCAAAAACAAATGTTGGTTAAGAGTTCCCAGTTCAGCCGAGAATCGTTGAAATGGGTTGATTTGGGAATGGGCACATTTTGATAAGGCTGTTGAGCCCCCCCCCCTCTCCACCTGGAGAATCCCCCCCCTCCCTTATCTCTGTGGGGAAGACACTTAAGTGTGTATTGCATGCGAGTGTGTGTTTGTGGGCAGAGATCCTCGCCTTGTATTCGAAGAACGATGAATCTGCAAAAATCTACTATTTATAATTTTTTTTCTCTTCTTCTTCCCTCGTTTGTTCTTTCTAGATATTTGGATGTTCCTTTGTTCTGGGGATTTAATATGGAGGAAGTGTTGCGAAGGGGAGGGAAGGGGGAAGGAGGACACAAGTCTTGTAAATGTATTTGTATTAAAAGTCTTGTTCTTTTAAATTCAGCCTGTTGTGTCTTTTTTTTTTTTTTCCTCTTTCAACCCGGTTGGGTGGATCAATCCCAAGGGGAGCAGACTCAGAGCAACTGAAAATTGAAATGAGTGAATTGGAGAGGAAGGTGGGGGGGGCTTCCTTATCCTTCACCCTCTAATTGGGGAGGGGTCTTTTGTAAAAGCAGAGACCGATACTCCTTGTTACCGAGGGACAGAAGGCTAATCTGCAACCTCCGAGCAAGGCCTTAGAGTTGGATAGATGGATCCATCCAGCAGCTTGTTGCTGGAGGGCAGGCCGGGAGAAGGAGAAGGGAGTGGGTAGAGAAAGGGAGGGAGGGAGCGGGGAGGGGGAGATGAGAAGGAGAAAGGAAGAAAGAGGAAGGGGAGGGAAAGAAGGAAGGAAAAGAGAAAGGGAAGGAAGGGAAGAAAAGAGAGAGGGAAGGGGGAAAAGAAGGAAAAGAGCAAAGGAAAGGAAAGGGAAAGAATGAAAAGAAAGGGATGGGAAAAAAGGAAGAGAAAGGAAAGAGAAATGGAAATAAGGAAGGGAAAGGAAGGAAGGAAAGATGGAAGGAAGAGCCTTGGTAGTACAGTGGTCTAAGGCACCCTGTTATTAAGCTGGTTATTAAGACCAGCTGCCTGCAATTACTGCAGGGTTCGAATCTCGCCAAGGCTCAAGGTTGACTCAGCCTTCCATCCTTTCTAAGGTAGGTAAATCGAGGACCCAGTTTGTGGGGCAATAAGCTGACTTTGTATAAATATATACAAAAAGGATGAAGGCTATTGCTTAGCGCATTGTAAGCCGCCCTGAGTCTCCGGAGAAGGACGGCATATAAATCAAATTTTAAAAAAAAAGGAAGGAAGGAAAAAAGGGAAGGAAGGGAACAAAAGAAAGGGAAGGAGGAAAGGAAGGAAAAGAGGAAAGGAAAGGGAAAGAATAAAAAAGGGATGGAAAAAGGAAGGGAAAGAAAGGAAAGAAACAGGGAAATGAGGGAGGGAGAGGAAGGAAGGAAAGATGGAAGGAAAAAAGGGAAGGAAGGGAACAAAAGAGGGAAGGAGGAAAAGAAGGGAAAGAATGAAAAGGGATGGAAAAAAGGAAAGAGAAAAAGACAGAAAGAACAAAGGGAGGGAAGGATGGAAGGAAGGGAAGGAGGAAATATTCTAAGGGGGAGTGAGGAGGGGGAAGGAAGGGAATAGGAAGAAAGGAAAGGAAAAGAGGTGAAGGAGGGAGGGAGGAAAGAAGGAACTGAGGACTAGAGGGAGGAGGAGGAAGAAAAGGAAGGCAGAAAAAGGAGAAGGAAGGCAGGGAAGAGAAAGAAAGAGGAAGGATGGGAACAGAGGGGAGGGAGGAAAAGTAAGGACTAGCATAACAAACAGACAGAAAAAGGGAGGCCGAGAGACACAACACAGCAGATGTCGGAAGAATGGACAGCTGCAGGTCAAATCTTCCGTCCACGGGACCTCCGTAGTGAATAAATTTAAATAAATAATAAAAGAGCTTGGAGAAGACACAATTGGGTGCCTCTGTAACACCCATCTCTCTCACAGGGGCTACTCTGGGGTTTCTCAAGATGGCCGCCTTTAAGACGGGTGGACTTCAACTCCCAGAATTCCCCAGCCAGCCAAGCGGGCAGGGGAATTCTGGGAGTTGAAGTCCACCCGTCTTAAAGTTGCCATGTTTGTGCGACGCTGTGGATATAGAGGACAGATTTGGAATTACTGTAATCTCTAGGCTGCCCTCTGATGGTCGTTGGGATTATTGCAACCCAAACACAGGAGGAACCCCACCAGTTATCCCACTGAGGGCCCAACTGGGTATAAGATGGATGGATGGATGGATGGATGGATGGGTGTGTGGGTGGGTGGGTGGGTGGGTGGGTGGGTGGATGGATGGATGGATGGATGGATGAAGAGATGGATGGATGGATGGATGGATGGATGAAGAGATGGATGGATGGATGGATGGATGGATGGATGGATGAATGAAGAGATGGATGGATGGATGGAAGGATGGATGGATGGATGGATGGATGGATGGATGGATGGATGGATGGATGGATGGATGGATGTGTGGGTGGGTGGGTGGGTGGATGGATGGATGGATGGATGGATGAAGAGATGGATGGATGGATGGATGGATGGATGGATGAAGAGATGGATGGATGGATGGATGGATGGATGGATGAATGAAGAGATGGATGGATGGATGGAAGGATGGATGGATGGATGGATGGATGGATGGATGGATGGATGGATGGATGAGTGCATGGGTGGGTGGATGGATGGATAGATGGATGAAGAGATGGATGGATGGATGGATAGATGGATGGATGGATGCATAGGTGGGTGGTTGGATGGATGGATGGATGGATGGATGGATGGATGGATGGATGGAAGGAAGGAAGGATGGATGGATGGATGGATGCGTGGGTGGGTGGGTGGATGGATGGGTGGGTGGATGGATGAAGAGATGGATGGATGGATGGAAGGAAGGAAGGATGGATGGATAGATGGAGGGAGGGAGGGAGGGAGGAGAGGGAGAGGGAATGGGAGAGTATATAAAGTATATATAAGGTATAAAAATAGGTATAAGAGGAGGGGAGTATCAAAGTATCAGAGTCCTCGGAGAGTTGGGCAGCATAGAAATACGAATAATAAATAAATAAATAAATTGTAAAAAAAGGAAGAAATTGGGAGAACAAAGCAATCTTGGACAAGGTGAGTGACTTTTGAAAGCAGGATGCCAACCCCATTGTCCTTAATCCCTTTAATTCTGGTTTCTCCCCCCCCCCTTCTTTAAATTATTATTATTTAAAAGCAACCTTGACTGATCTCAGGAAGCGAAGCAGGGTTGGCCTCCTTTGATCCTCGGATGGGAGACCACGTGGTGATCCCTTAAGGGAGAGGTGTGCTGCTCAAGAGCTCTGCTGGATCCGTTCCCAGCTGTCAAAAAGGCTTGACGGGCGGGTTAAGCCTCCTGGCTCAGCCAGTTCCCAACCAGGTCATCCCAAAAACAGGAACCATGGGCTCACACCACCCCTTTGCCCCCAGGGCCTTGTCTCTCTTGGATGAAACCAATTGCAAAGCCGGATCCACGTTCTCACCTGGAAAGCCCCACCCCACGTGGCTGAAAGGATTTCCCCGTGTTTTGCTTTTTCTTCCCTCTTTCCCTCGTGGGTTTCTTGGTGCTCTCTGAGCTCGGTGGTTTTCTTGCAAACGTTTCAACGACCCAACTAGGGAACATCATCAGTGCTAGAAGGGAGGGGGCTGAAGAGGAGGAGGAGGACGAGAGGGGAGAGGAGGAGGAGGAAGAGGAAGAGGAGGACTGTTGGGTCCTTGGTGCTCTCTGAGTTCAACTGTTTTCTTGCAGATGTTTCATTACCCAACTATGGAACATCATCAGTGCTAGAAGGGAGTGGGGTAAAGAGGAGGAGGAAGAATAGATGGAAGAGGAGGAGGATAGGGGGAGGAGGAGGAGGAGGAAGAGGAGGAGGACTGTGGGGTCCTTGGTGCTCACTGAGCTTGGTGATTTTCTTGCAAACGTTTCAATGACCAAACTATGGAACATCATCAGTGCTAGAAGGGAGTGGGGTGAAGAGGAGGAGGAGGAAGAGAGGGAAGGG